TCAAACAAGGTAGGTCAGCTAATATTTTTATGGCCAGCTCCGATGCAGAAAGGCAAGGAAATGTTAGGGTAATATTTGTAGGAGCTCATTATTATTGTTTTAAATATTAAAAAAAAAAGTTCCACTGAGATTTTATCCTTTTAAAAAAATATATTAAAGTTATTTGTAGGTCTTCTGGCTTGCTTTGTGGGAGACTTGTTCTAGTTTTTATGGCCCACTTACGGAAAAGACGAATTCTGGCCTCTCTAACTGCTTTGGGGAAGAAAGAAGGGCAGGAGACAGGAGGGCAAGAGAAGGTCAGAGAGCAACTTTCTTCTGAGGCCTTCTCTAATCTCATTTAGTTCAAAGTATTCAGCATGCCAAAGCACCATACTTTGGGGTATCATTTTCTGAGCCCCAGTAGTACTTTTTCCACATATAACTACATACCAGGTAATTAATCAGTTCATTTTTTACCTAGACTCTTCATTCTGTTGTCCTTCAGTACAATAGTTACTTTTTAGACCTGGTCCAGCAGTGGTCCTAGAGCATCCTTTCCCACTCTCCTATCTTGCATCTCATTCCTGGATTCCATGTCTTCCTCTTTATATGTTTACTCTCACATTTTACCAAAGCCAATTCTGCAACTTCCTATGAAAGAGTGCATTGGAGGTAAATCTTTTGATACCTTGCATATCTGAAGATGTCTTTATTCTATCCTAAAACTTGGTACATAATTTGACTAGGTATAAAATTATAGGTCAAAAATGATTTGGGGGCTGGGCGTGGTGGCTCTCACCTGTAATCCCAACACTTTGGGAGGCCAAGGAAGGAGGATCATTTGAAGCCAAGACTTCAAGACCAGCCTGGGCAATAATGTGAGACCCTGTCTCTACAGAAAATTTAAAAATTAGCCAGGCACAATGATATGGACCTGTAGTCCCAGCTACTCAGGAGGCTGAGGCAAGAGGAAAATAGTAACAACAATTTTCACTCAGTTTTGGCGATAGTACATCACTATCTTTTAGCTTCCAAAACTGCTAAGGAGTTTGATGCCATTTTGACTCCCTTTCTTTTATGTTACCTATTCAAGTTCACCTCACCCTTAAACGTTAAGAAACTATTTATTGTCGCCATCCTGAAGTTTCATGATGTCAGTCTTTTCCAATTCACTTTTCTTTTTAACTTTTATTTTAGGTTCAGGGGTACCTGTGTAGGTTTATTATATTTATTTCATCACCCAGGTACTAAGCCTAGTACCCAATAGTTATTTTTTCTGATGCTCACCCTCTACCCTCAAGTAGGCCCCAGTGTGTGTTGTTCCCCAGTGCAGTTGACCCTTTTTTTCTTGACATGTCATAAATGCATTAACCACATACATAAATTTCTGTCTTATTTCCTCTCCTCAATTTTGTTTTTTCCTTCTGTTGATTTTCTGTTGCTCTGTCTCTTCTGTTTGTATTTTCATTGTACTTTGTAGATGTATGTTTTTTCTACTAAACATATTTTTTATTTCTAAATCAAAAAGCTTTTTCTCATTCTGCAAGTTGTTTTTTATAGCATCCTGTTCTTGTTTCATAAGTGAAATATCTTCACTCATCTATGAGGATACTCACTCGTTTATCTTTTTTGTTGTCTTTTGTTCCCTACATTGCCTCTATTTCTTGTTTGCCTTTTCTTTTGATTTCTGTCTTCCATTTAGTAATTTTTTTTCTTTCTGTACTGTCTGAGTATCCTTGAATCTCAACCATATTTTGTTTTGTTTTGTGTTTTTTAGAGACAAGGTCTCGTTCTGTCACCCAGGCTGGAGCACAATGGCATGATCATAACTCACTGCAGCCTCGACTTCCTGGGCTCAAGTTATCCCCCCTGAATCAGCCTGCAGAGTAGCTGGGACTGCAGGTGCACACCAGGACACCTAACTAGTTTTTTTACACTTTTTTTTAGAGATGGAATCTTACTATGTTGCCCAGGCTGGTCTCGAACTCCTGGCTTCAATGAATCCTCTCACTTCAGCCTCCCAAAGTGCTGGGATTACAGACATGAGCCACTGCTCTGGCCTCAACTCATTTAAGAGTAGGTGCTATACAGCTGTTGTCAAGGGCAGCTGTGTGGGGGAGAGAAAAAAGAGAGAAGGTGTTGTTTGTTGATCAAATAGCTTCATGATAGAGCGCTCATGCTGCAGGGTACCCTTTTTATCAAGAGACTTCCATATGTCAGTAGTTGGAGATTTTTTTCTGGGGCTAAGTTCCTCTAGAGAAGGGTCTTGAGTCCTCTGCCTGGGGGCCAGGGATCTCTGCCTGGCTGCCAGTGTTGCTGAGTTGAGGAGGCTAACCCTGCAGGCTCCTTCAAGTGTTGGGCAGGCAGCCTCCTGGCTGTAGGAAGGAAGCTGCATCTTCTGAAAACTGTTACTGCCTCCACCCCAAGAAGTCCATTGCGGTTTCCACTTTCCCAAATTTGTTGAAAACTTCCTCTGATGTTGCCTCCTTTTGGGATATCTTTATGGCCTTTTTATTTTTTCATTGTCATTTTTAAAGCGTGTGGGGAAGGAGACAGATAAGCATGTTGGTCAGTTGGCCATGTTAAATGGGAAGCCCCACAGTGCTGTTTTATAAATTGAATTCAAATCTTTTCATCCCTGATGTGATGGAGTCTTTGAGTCTCCACCACAGTTTTCCCTCAGTGACCCTGCCTGCCAGGCCCCTGAGGGCATCAGAGACTTCCACCTGCTCCAACACTCTCTGTCACTCAGTAGCTCCTGGGCTGCCAGGCATAACAGAGTGGACCTTCTGGGTGTATGTGGCAGTTTCACTTCTGCCACACAGTCCCTTGGATGCAGCTGCAGGAACAGCTGTGTGGAATGGAGTACACTTGCATTAGGGACTCTTCTCAAAGAAAACCCATCTCAACAGTCAACAGAAAGAGTAATTTGAAACACTTAACAAAAGATTTCTTACTCTACACACATTTGAGAAGACGGCGTGTCTCCCCTCAGATATAACTAGTCTTCTTCCTACTCAGAGAAAGTTAGTACAGTGTGAATGACTAAGTAAGGCTTTTCAGATGGCACAAAATAATGCACCTCGATCAACTTTTTTCTTTTTATCTTAAGAATTAACTGCAGCTGGACACAGTGGCTCATGTATACAATCCCAGTACTTTGGGAAGCCAAGACGGGAGGATTGCTTGAACCCAGGAGCTCGAGGCTGCAGTGAGCTGTGATCGCGCCACTGCACTCCAGCTTGGGTGACAGTGACTGCAGAGATAAATGCGTACCTCTTAACTGTCACACTGTAGAACCTAAACTGCACATAAACATACTTCAGTTTTCTAATCTGTATTTAGTAGTTAAATACAACTTTGAGAAATATCTTTTTGAGTATACCACATTAATTAATTGTTCAGCCCTAGGAAACAGCATGAACCACCCTTCTTTAAACTTGTGAAAACACTTGTAAAATGGACCCTGGGAATGCCATTGCTGATAATATTTCCAAATGTGCAATTGCATCACACTCATTTTCATCTTGACAAGAGTTACTTTTTTTTTCAGAATTTGAATCTCAGTTTGATTGGCCATATATTTTTTGCATAATGCTTGTGGCTCAAAAGGATTCATTTACTGGATTTTTGGATTTATAGACTTTACTGTCAAGCTCCTTCTAGTCTCTATGCATAAGGTGTAGCATTAATGCTTCTAATGAATGGCTACAGATAAACTATATCATCTTCACAAGTTGTGCAGATTTCCATGGTTTGTGCTCTGTTAGGCCTATGTCATGCCACAGGTTTTTGTTAGAAATATTTTAAGCATCTACTTTGGGAAAGCACTGTACCACACTTAAAAAGCTAATCGTGTTAATACACAGTTGTTTACTATTTAATCTTCAGGGAACAGATCCGGGATTAGTAGTATTTCTCATTCATTGTCCATCAAGTTACTTTCTCCTACATCTTATAGAAGGGGAGAATGAATTTTTTTTTTTTTTTTTTTAAAAGACAGAGTCTCACTCTGTCTGCCAGGCTGGAGTGCAATGGTGTGATCTCAGCTCACTGCAACTTCTGCCTCCCAGGTTCTTCTGCCTCAGCTTCCTGAGTAGCTGTGATTACAGGCGCCTGCCACCACACTCAGCTAATTTTTGTATTTTTAGTAGAGACAGGGTTCCACCATGTTGGCCAGGCTGGTCTCGAAATCCTGACCTCAAGAGATCTGCCTGCCTCGGTCTCCCAAAGTGCTGGGATTACAGGCGCGAGCCACCATGCCCGACCCAATGAAAATTATTTCACTTTTCCCTTAGTCTATTCTTGACTCCCTTTTCCAATACTCATTGTCTTCTAAAGGGTCCCTTAAACTATGCATAAGACAAGAGTCCGAATGAAGAAAACATTAAATCATTAAGTGTTTCTGTATGTTGCAGTTATTCTGAAGTATTAAAATGAGAGAGCCAGGTGTCATGGTGCCATGGTACACGACTGTAGTCCCAGCTACTCAGGAGGCTGAGGTGGGAGGATTGCTTGAGGTCAGGGGTTTGAGACCAGCCTAGGCAACACAACAAGACCCTGTCTCGGAAAAAAAAAAAGTACTTCCCTAAAGGTTTAAAGGGTCAAGGGACAGACCTGAGCTAAAAATATTTGCAGATTACTCTTCTGGGAGGAGGTACAAATCGCTTTAGGAGCCCGAGAGTTGCTCTTTGAGTGCACAAACAACTCGCCTTCAGAATTTCCTTCCCATCTCGCTGCCTGTCCCATCTGGAGACTTGCATGCTCAGCATTCTGGGTCTCCTCTGGGTTCAGTCCCTGGATGGAAATAAGGAAGGCCTGGCCAGTCTCAGATGGCAGGTGCCACTGAGCACAGGGAGGAGAAGCGTTCCGCTCTTCTCAGGTGATTGCTTGTCTGCAAATCAGCAATAAAAGCTTATTGTTGCTAAAATCTCTGATTAAAAATCCTACAGCCCCTTTTTTGCAGTAACTTGATGTGTTATGTTTACATTAACATGGTTGATGGTTTTGTTTTTTGTTTTCCAGTTATGAAAAACCTCCTCCTGGGCTTATCAAGGTTAGTGTGAAGTTTGTACTCTTGGTTATTCCACTAGACATACTTGTAGACTTAGTAACTTGTTATGAAAAATGATTGCATGATATTTAAATCTCCTTTTACCAAAAGCCTATTTCTTTCCTGCAGATGACTGAGGGGTCATAATTTTTAGTTTTGTCACAAGGCACTGCCTTTGTAGAAATTTCATCAGCCATGTTTCCCTTCCCCAAAGAACCAGTGCAGGCCCACGTGGATTCCTTGGTCTTGCCCCTCTTCTCTCTTGCTGGGGACGGCATCTCTACGCTCCTTTTCCTTGTCGGCCTCACCCAGCTCAGCCCCTTGGTCCATCCTGTGCCAGTTTCTTGAGCTCAGCAGCTCAGAGAGGAGTAAACTCTGAGGAGACCCGACAGCTCATCCAGTCCCGCTCCCCGGTGCAGGCATCCCTCCTGCAGCTCCCTGGCCACAGCACCAGGGTGTGTGCGCACGAGGGAGACTTAGAGTGGCAGGCCACAGCAAAGAAAACTTGCTGTTTCATAACTCTCAATGAAGAAATATTTTTTAAAAACATTAGTCTATTGTAAATTTAATATTCATAGAAACTTGAAAAAAATCCAAGTTTAAAAACACATTAATTGTAAATGCAGTTATTGAGTGGCAAAAATGCACATCAGAGATACAGCATGCATGTGACTATAAAATATGACAGGGCCTTCAGGGTATAATAAGCTTTAACAGGCCATTTCTATTATTCCAGGAAGTCTGGTTTACTTTAATTCTACATTTTGAGGTAGTGAAACTTTTTTGTTTTTAATCTGAAATCTAATTTGGAGCTCACCACTCATTGCTATATAAGGACAGATTTTTCTGCTTCACCAGTAACTTTTCTCTAAGAACAGCTACATTGTTTTTGGTATAATTATTTTGGTACATTTGTTTCTTGTTTTTTCAATCAGGTGTAACTTGTCTTTTTTTCTAGTTTTGAGGGGTAACTAAGATATTGTTGGCACCAGAAGTCCAGGAAAAAGCCAGGCGAGGGTGGCTCCAAGGGGAGCAGGAGAGAATCCAGCACTGTCTTGCCATGCTGTTTATACCTGTTCCCTTTTTTAGGAAGATGAGACTAAGCCAGAAGATTGCATACCAGATGTACCAGGCAATGAACACGCCAGGGAATTTCTGGCTCATGCACCAACTAAAGGACTTTGGATGCCACTGGGGAAAGAAGTCAAAGTGATGCAGTGTGAGTGTGGGAGAGTTTCCCTAATCCATGCAACTTACACGCCGCAAAGGGTGTTTACTTCTTTTATTTAACTTGTTCTCATCACAACCCTCTTATAGCCAAGGCATGTTCTCCATCTTCTAGATGAGGAAGCATCCACCCCACCCCCTAACCCCATGCCATGTGAAGACAAAGAAAGAGGTCTGTCATCTTAAGCCAGGAAGAAAGCTCTCACCACAAACCCACCTTGCTGGGACCCTGATCTCAGATTTCCAACCTACAGAATGAATGAGAAAACCAGTTTCTTCTGTTGTTTAGGCCACTCAGTGTATGGCATTTTGTTATGTCAGCCCGAGCTGACTAAGACACTATCTTTCTGCAAGTTCCCTTAGCCTCTCTCCTATGCTGGATCACCCATTTTCCTGTGTCTTGAGTCTTCTTTATTATTATATTCTCTCCTTATGGTATAACAAATCCTATGGCAGTTACCTTCAAAATGGATTTATAGGAGATAAAAATGTCAAGACCTTTACTTCTCTGGAATTGTCTTTGACAGATTTTTAACTTTACCAGGATATTGAATTCTAATTTAAAAATCAGTTTCCTTAAGAATTTTGATAGGAATGCTTCATTGCCTCATCATTTGTTAAGAGCACAGATAACATGCCTCAGAATTCATTATCTATCAGTTTTTCTTCTTTGGGTGGATTATATTTTCCCAGAGAAGGCTCCCACGTGGAGGGAAAGCCATGCTATGAGTGTTCTGGGAGCCGAGTGGAAGGAGTCTGGAAATGGGTCCATCTGCTTTTCATTCATTCGTGTGACCCTTTGTGGCACTGTAGCAGCTTCCTTCAGACCTACCTGATGTCTCCCTGTTCTCCCTGGTCAGAGACCCTCTGTTTTACCTCTTCCAGACATTAAACAACCTTCTACCAGGGTCAGGGAAACAGGGTCTCAATCTGTCACCCGGGCTGGAGTACAGTGGTGCGATCACAGCTTTCTGCAGCCTCAGCCTCCCAGAATTAGGTGATCTCACCTCAGCCTCCGAGATAGCTGGGACTACAGGTGTGCGCCACCAGGCTCAGCTAATTTTTTTGTATTTTTGTAGAGATAGGGTTTCACCATGTTGCCTAAGCTAGTCTCGAAGTCCTGGCCTCAAGCAATCTGCTCGCCACTGCCTCCCAAAGTGCTAGGATTACAGGTATGAGCCACTGTGCCCAGTCAACGTTAATATTCTAAGAGAACTTGTGATTTTGTTTACTTATAATAAGTGAGAGCTTTGAACAGACTCAACCTGAGAAAGAAGCTTTTATAGTGTCTAAAATAGTAAATGAGAAGCAGAGATACTTTATGAAAATATTTACTCTGAAAAATATACTGAGACACACTTTAAAAAAAATGTACCTTTTGGGCCGGGCGTGGTTGGTCACGCCTGTAATCCCAGCACTTTGGGAGGCCGAGGTGGGCGGATCACCTGAGGTCAGGAGTTCAAGACCAGCCTGGGCAACATGACAAAACCCCGTCTCTACTAAAAATACAAAAATTAGCCAGGTGTGGTGGTGCGCACCTGAAATCCCAGCTACCCAGGAGGCTAAGACAGAAGAATATCTTGAACCCAGGAGGCAGAGGTTGCAGTGAGCCGAGATCACGCCACTGGACTCCAGCCTGAGTGACAGAGCAGGACTCTATCTCAAAAAAAAAAAAAAACTTACCTTTTGAAGTAATTTTCCATTGGATTGCTTCATAAATACTTGGTGATATAGATTATTATTCCTAAAGGTATAAGACTCAAGAATGCTTGGGAAAGCAATTCGTTTACCTCTGTTTCTGGGATCTTACATGGCTTGTCCATAATTATATTTTGTTTTAGAGTTGGAGTTTAATGAAGAAAAACTTGAATATATTCTGCTGATTCTTTATCTTGAGTAGGTGAAACTGTGTTATCTTACAGAAATAATTCTTTTTGTTTTTAGGTTGGCGTTGCAAACGGTATGGTCACCGAACGGGCGACAAAGAATGCCCTTTCTTTATCAAAGGCAACCAAAAGTTAGAGCAGTTCAGAGTGGTAAGTAAAGTCCCAGAGTGTCAATTTACATTTATCAGAAATAGTGAAAATCAGTGAAGCAGAAAGTCACCAGTGAACTGAACGTTCACATAAAATACATTCCCAGAAGCCCTTTGACCAAAGTGTGTGATGCTAACTACATGCTTATTAAATTACATTTGTATGACAAATTAGCTCTTCAACAAAAAAAGGAATTCTTATTAAAGTGGTCTTTGCTTATAACTTGGAAGAGTGATTGTTTTTTTCCTGAAACAGACATTGTTATCTATTCAACCCCCCTTTTTAAAATTTACTATGTAAAAAGTCATGTTTCATAACTAAAATCAGGGATTTAATTTCCCAGTCTTTAAAGAGTACATGTCTTTAAATTGTAAGATTAAAGTGTCCGTATATTTTTTCTTCAGATGACAGTTATTTCCTATATTTTTCTTTTGTTTGGTTTTGAGGTGGCAGTGTTACAGCTCTGTGACTGCTCCTGCAGAGCAGGGCTACCCCAAAGAGAGTGTGCTGAGAGTAGCCATTTCCTGTATTTTTCTAATTGGAAAATCCTTTTTTTAGCCTAAATGAGTTTTCAGTGATGTGACCTAGAACATGTTGAACATGCAGCTACATCAAACAGAAAAAAAAAAAAAAAAAAGCTGGTTTTCATAACATAGGCATTTTATTGTATTTAACTTGTGGTCCATGAAGCCTAACCAAATCTTAACCTTCTCTGATGCTTAAGGCACATGAAGATCCCATGTATGACATCATACGAGACAATAAACGACATGAAAAGGACGTAAGGTGAGGTCATCCTGATGATAACAATATCCTCTTAAAGTTTTAAAATTATATAAAGTTGGAGAAAACCACTCTAGTGTTAGAGGAATGGTGCAGTAAACATGGTACTTCAATTGTGAAAATATGTGGAGTGCAGGAGTCATGGCTGAAAAGGCCAGTGTTGGGAATGAGCCGGCCAGCCTTCTCCTTGGGTTAGCTTAAAGCCATGGGCTTGGTCCAGCTCTCTGGCCACTGCAGTTGATGTTGGCAACCCATGTTGTGCTGTCTACTTGTACAGTACAATTGATACTTTCATATGATTCAGATTATCTTCTCCAAAGTCTTTAGGGATCTGAGCTTTTGTTAAAAATTATACTTAGGCCAGGCTCAGTGGCTCACACCTGTAATCCTAACACTTTGGGAGGTCAAGGCCAGCGGATCACTGAAGTCTAGGCGTTTGAGACCAGCCTGGACCATATGGCAAAAACCCCATCTTTGCAAAAAAATTTAAAAATAAAAATTAGCCAGGTATGGCAGCATGCACCTGTAGTTCCAGCCACTCAGGAGGATGAGGTGGGAGGATCTACTTGACCCCAGGAGGTTGAGGCTGCAGTGAGCCATGATTGTACCACTGCACTCCAGCCTAGGTGACAGAGGAAGACCCTATCTCTAAAAAAAAAAAAAGAAAATTAGACATGATTAGAGAAAGGTGGAAAAAATTGGAGGGTTTTTTCAAATTGGTGGCATGATAACTGTTAAAGATGTAGATTAAGAAATTGAGCAGTAGGGGAATGGTTTAGTAAAGTATGCGTCTGTTAGAAATTACAATTGTAAGGACTGTGGAGACAGGAAAAATGTCTAGGACAATAAAAATACAAAATGGCTTGTACATTGGTTACAGTCACGTAAAGTAGGCACTCAGTGGAGAAGAATGGAGAAAACAGGTAAAAAGAAAAATACTGTGTTTGTGACATGGTTATTCATCTTCCTCCTATACTGCTTTTGAATGACATATTTATCTAAGAAACTGTATAAGTTAAAGCTAAAACTCACTGTTCTTTGATCAATTTTGAATGTTTAGGATACAGCAGTTAAAACAGTTACTGGAGGATTCTACCTCAGATGAAGATGGGAGCAGCTCCAGTTCCTCTGAAGGTAAAGAGAAACACAAGAAAAAGAAGAAGAAAGAAAAGCATAAGAAAAGGAAAAAAGAAAAGAAAAAGAAGAAAAAACGGAAGCACAAATCTTCCAAGTCAAATGAGAGTTCTGACTCAGAGTGACAAGGATGTGACTTGTTCAACGTTCTCTTCTCACACACTGACCAAGGAACAGAGGAAGATGCAGTCAGAGAAAGTAGCAGGATAGAGATGCAGAGACAGGAGGATACGTGGGTCACAGCAGTGAGCTCCCACCTGCCTTCCAGTGAAGATGTGACTCCAGGAGAGGGAGTGTCTCCTTCCAGGTGCTAGCTCTGGACAGCCGCTGATTTTAGGTAGGAAAAGTTTCTTTGGTGTTGTCCTCCCTGCTGGTCACATGAGTTTATGATTCCTTTGAAATGTCTCCCACAGGGTGGCAGGACTGGGGGAGTCTCAGAGGTGTGTCTTCCATGCCCTCCCACAGCTTGTGCCCTCCACAGTGTGGACTCAGGTCCCATAGATATCAGGCTGGAGTCTTCTCTGTTGTTAAGAATAATAAAAGCTCATTATTTATTTTTTAAATGGAATATATTTATTTATTAATAATATATAAGTATAAATAATACATAATACAAATTTTAAAAGTACATAAAATTTAATCATGAAAACTCTTCTTTCTTCCTTTCTACTCCACTTACTTTCCCCAATGTCTACCAGTGGTACTAGTTTCTTGTGAATATTTTATATATCACAAGCAAGTACAGGGCTTTTCTTACACAAATGCTATCCACATGCACTCACATGTAGTTGCATTTTAAACTTGGAAGTATGAACCTTGCAGTGGTCAGTAGCTGAGGAGGGTTGGATCCAGGACCAACTCCCTCAATCCCTCATAGATACCAAAATCTGTGGATGCCCAAGTCCCTTACATTAAATGGCGTGCTATTTGCCTATTGCCTACATACATCTTCCCATATACTGTAATTCATCTGTAGATTACTTATAACACCTAATACAATGTAAACAGTTGTTATAATGTATTATTTAGGGAATAATGGCAAGAGAGAGTCTGTGCATGTTCCATAGAGACAGAACCACCCATTTATTTTTTTGAAGATTTTCTATCTGTAGTTTGATGAATTCACAAATGTAGAACTTGCTGATAGGGTGGGCCCACTGTTTTTATATATCGAGTATATTTGGCTTTACTGCCGTATCAGAATTGTACATTTATATTTACCTGACATGATTTGTTGATTGGGGGCTAAGGAGTTCTTAAAACAATGAAAAACCTTGTATGGCTGCATTCTACTTCACTTGCTTTCTACTACCAAAGTCCCACAATTTTCACAGAGTGACTAAGAAAAAGTTTAGGAATATACAGGGATTTCCATACTGGGTCAGGTACCCACATCCCAAAATCTCTCTCCCTTTCTTTCTCTTCCTGTTGCCTGACCACAGCCCACCTGTGCCCTTGTAGCTGAGACTAGGCCACAGTAGAAGCATCTCAGGAGACCAGGGTGTGTCAATCTATTGTTTGCTGAGCCAAAGTGAAGCTGGATCTTGCTCATAGGCAAGTGTGTTCCTCTGTGGCGAACACTGGACTCTTGATGCTTTAGGCACTCAGTCAGGGTCCCAGAAACTCACTCCCATTTTTTGCTACTTTTCCTGGGGTTTGGATTCCCTCCTTTTTAAGGAGCAGCCAAGCCAGGCCCAGACTGACCCTTCTCCAGCTCTCAGCAGTCAGTGCTACTATTCTTGACTTTGGAATACAACCTGAATGGGTTTTTACACAATCAAGAATGGGATGGCCAGGACTTATTATTTATGAAAACTGTAAGGCCAGTGGATTCAGCCTTGCCTTACACTTATCCTTGTCATGCAGAACACAGGCCATCTGTCCTCTGCCATATGCTCAGCATTTCCCACCCAGGTACAGCCGGTCCTCTTCTTCCAGGAACTGGCTACTGTCCCTCCGCAATCCCATTCATGATAAAAGCATTCTTACACAACGTGAGAGATGCTGCATCGATAATTCTCAAGCCTTCGAGGCATCCAGATCAACTAAAGATGCAGATTCCTGTGCTCCACTCAAAAACTACCAGAATTTTCCATTTCCTAGGTCTGGGGTGAATCTGGGAATCTACCTTGCTAACAAGTGATGCTGACACTGTTGGTTCAGGAACCCCACTTGGAGAACCTGTGCTCTAGATCTCTACCCTCTTACTGAAGCCTTCTTCCACTTCCTGCTTTAACTGGAATCCAGCCATCCACCCCTGCAGCCCTTGCAAGTGAATTGCTATCCCTTCTCTCTCACTGGTTTTCTCTGTCTTGTCTGTTTCTGGCCTAGATTCTGGGGAACATCACTTCAGCCTGTCATCTCCCCTGACCTGTGATCCTTTTGTCCAGTTCTCCCAAAAGAAATTTCAATTAAAATCTTTCACTTCTGCATATTGTATATACAGACTGCACGGGGAAAACACATACCCATGTAGATTGATGCCCCCACAAATTCATCATCTCCAAACTCAAATATTTGAGAACTGACCCCAAAATGCTGACTAGCAAACCAAAAGCTTGTTAGCCATCTATTTAAACCTTCTTCATTCTCAGGCATTTCCTTCAGGTTCTGCATTTTCTACTCCTATCCAGGAAGACAATATCAGCCCTCAGACCTCCCCTCACTAATGCAGCCTACCATCTCACCATCATGGTGTGCATGTTAGGCAAAATTCTAAAATGGCCCATGATCTCTACCCCTAATCTTCAGTACTGTTAATAGGATGCATTTTACTCCTGTGACTGGATTATGTTACCACTACAAGGAGAGGGAGACCATCTGGGTGTTCCTAATCAAATCATGAGAGCCATATGGAACTCTCGAGTTGTCTATGGCTAATAATCAAAGAGGAAGTAAGACAGTCCAAGCCTGTGAAAGATTCCACACATCATCACTGGCTTTAAAGTTGAAGGGGCCACATGGTGAGGGATGCAGCAGACTCTCATCAAAGGTTCCTCACTAACAGCCAGCAAAGAAATGGAGCTGTCAGTCCTACAGCCGAAAGTAACTGAATTCTGCCACCCTCAATGATTCTGGATGCATATTCTTCCCCAGAGCCTCCAGATGGAAGCCCACCTCTGCTGACACCTTGGGTTGGGGCTTGTGAGATGCAAAGTCGAGAGCCCACTTGAGCCTGCCCAGGGTTCTGACCTATACCACCATGAGGTAATCAGTGGTGGTGGTTTTGACCTTTTACTTTTGTGGGAAAGTGTTAATGCAGCAACAAACTGATCCAGAAGTTTAATGAGCTTTCCCTCCTCCTCTCAGGCCAGTCCATCACCTGTGCTCTGGAGCCCACCATCAGCCAGCAGTAGGGGGCAGTGGCTGGAGCACTGGCCCTGCATCCAGACTGCCTGGCTTTGAATCCCAGCTTGCTAGCTGTGGAGTTGCTCCACCTCTCTGTGCCTCCATGTCCTTGACTGATCATATCTACCTCCTAGACTCCTCATGAGAATAAGGGGACTTGATATGCATAAAGCATTTAGAGCAGGGTGTGGCACATCTCAACTGTAAATGAATGTTACCTGCTCCTGCTGCTACTGGTACTGCTGTCACCATCATCTGATCCTTGGGGAGCTTCCTCCTTTATCCCACGTCACTCACGTCTTGAAACTCTTCCTTTCTATTGTGATCTTGCCACCAGTATTTAAAAAACTTTTAAAATTGTAAAATACATGCTCATAAAGAGTTCACAATTCTGAGCCATTCAAGAATAAAAAGTGAAAGAAGAGTCTACTTATGATGCTTTAATACAGCACTCCAGATCCTGATCAAAATGCGTCAGCAAACACAGATGAACAGGAAGGGTTTTGAATTGTTAGTTTCACATAACAGATAAACACCAGGAATGCTGTTCTGTGACCCCATTTCACTCTATGTTGGTAATCTTACTGCTCACAACAAGCTTCAGGTGGCTACAAAATCCCTCAGTTTGAATGTGCCATGATTCATTTAACCATTAATCTATTTATCACAATTCATTTGTCTCCTATTTCTCATTCCTACAAATAAGACTGAAAAGAAAATCTTGGGTAAATATCTCGTGTACATGTGCAAATATTTCAATAGAATAGTTTCATAATAAGGCAATTGCGTATTTTAATTGTTACATATACTACCAAATGAGTCAATGCTGTGGTTTGATTATGTCTCCCAGAATTCATATGTTGGAAACTTAATTCCTAGTGCAAAAATATTAAGAGGTGAGGCCTTAAAGAAATGATTATGCCATGAGAGCTCTGTCCTAACAAATGACTTAGTGCTATTATCTTGTGAGTGGGTTACTTATCTCTAGTGGGCTTGTTATAAAGTGGCCCTTTGTTCCACATGCTCACAATTCCATGCTTTCTCTATTTTTTTTGAGACGGAGTCTCCCTTTGTCACCCAGGCTGGAATGCAGTGGCGTGATCTCAGCTCACTGCAATCTCCACCTCCCAGGTTCAAGCAATTCTCCTGCCTCAGCCTGCTGAGTAGCTGGGATTACAGGCGTGCACCACCACGCCTGGCTAATTTTTGCATTTTTAGTAGAGACGGGGTTTCACCATGTTGGTCAGGCTGGTCTCAAATTCCTGACCTCGTGATCCATCCGCCTCGGCCTCCCAAAGT